CCGGCCCCTCCTGGCGCGGTGCGGGACCCCAGGCTGTCCTGGGCTGTCCGGGAGGCAGAGCCCAGCCTTGCCATCCGCGGGGCGGGCGCGCCCTCTAGTGTGCGCAGCGGGCGGCTGGAGGCGGAGGGTGGGCAGAGCCTGGAACTGAGGCGAGTTGAGGGGCGGCTGAGCCTGAGCTGTGGGCTGGGACGCCCGGGACCCACAGGTAGCGTGAGTGAGCGTGCGAGTGCTTCTTCCTGAAAAAGCTCTCTCCTGTCGAAGAGACTGGACACTTATCAGGTTATAACGTTAATGGATGGAGAAAGCTCCACTCACACCCCTCTTGAACTTCCTCCAAATAGGACAACTTTCCTTAGCTAAACTCTTCTAAATGGGTTTGGTTCTGCTACGCCTGTATCTTGCATTCTGAGGCTGGGGGGTCTTGGGGTTACCTCTCTCCAATTTCTTTCCATCTATGGAGCCTGGAATCTCTGTCTGCTACATCTCATTGCCTCTTATTCTAATAAGTCCTTTTTATTTTATTTTATTATTTTTTAATAATAGTTTATTTTTACATCATTTTGTACATTTTTTTTTATCTCATGTGTAATCCCCGTGGGTTTCCCATCACCGAGTCACCCGTGTGCCATCACCATAGAAATCCTTTTTATTTAAGTTACAGAATTTTAATTCAGGGATGTGAGCCCTGGTGGCTAAACCTTGGCTTGGCATTTGCGAGTGGGGTGGGGGTGGAGACACCAGCAGCCCTCCCCCTGGTGTGATCAGGACCTGGGTTTGCAATTTCAGCTGAGTGATGTGGCAAACACAGGTGAGCATTTGCCATATCGACACCCTCTGACTCAAGCAGGGCTGGGACGAAGCCCTCCCTGCCGCTATTTGTGCCTCACTGCTCCGAGCCTCTGTGCTCATTTCTATAAAATGGGACTAAGGATACCTTCTAGGAATTTAGCAAGGCTCACGCATAGGTTGCAATGGTAGATGGAACAGTACTTCCTATTGAGGGCTTATTCCTAACACCTACTCTTGGATTTCGGAAATTGTTACTATATGCTGGAAGCCTAAGAGGAGGCGCTGACTTTTACAGGGACCCAGCGCTCCCAGGGAATAGGAGTCTGGGAACAGGAGATGTTAGGACCGTGACCCTGGTGAGGTCAGTGCTAGCGGAGGTGTCAGCATTCTCATCCTCACCGAGCACCTGCAAGTCTTGTGCTGGCCCACAGGATGGGAGGCAGGTGGACAGGGGCCAGTGCACTGGGTGGGCCTCATGGGTGATGAATGGTCGGGTAACTGTCCGTGTCTCTCTCAGGGCTGATGCCCATGCTCTCCCATCGGCTGTGGGACCACGTGAGGATGCTGCTGTGGTTTCTTGTCTTCTCTGCTCTGGCTCTCGGAGCCTGGGGTGAGTTCCCTTTGATTGAGTCAGAGATGCTTTTGGCATCAGAATCCCTGCCTGGTTTAACCTGTATGTCATGCTCTCCAGACTCAGTTCTCCCACCTCTCCCCACCCCCTCGGTCTTGTTCCTCTCATAGCCCAACTCCCCTCCCCTGCTGAGATGGCTCCATCTTCAGCAAACTCTCCAGCCAGCCAGCACACCTTGGCCTCAGAAGGAAACGCTCTCAGAATCATGGAGGCCACTCTCAGTGACCTTCTCTGACAGGGAAACATGGTCCATGTTATGGCAGTAACTTGTCCAAGGCCATCTGATCGCTTTGGGGAAGCTACATGGTTATGAACATGGCGCCAGGGTCAGGCAGCCTGGGCTAGGATCCAGGTCAACAGCTGAAAACATGTGTGGTCTTTGACAAGTGGCATGATCTCTCTGGGCCTCAGTTTCCCTTCTTCTTTGCCTACCTCATAAAGTTGTTCTTTGCCACAAACTTTGTGCCCTTGACATGCTGTGAGCAACAGAGATGGGCTGTGAAGCTGGTGTTGGTGACACTCTATAGGTTACTGCTCCTGGGAACCCTGGTACTCATTAGCGCGCTGAGGCATAGGCCACTATGGCAATGAACCCTCTATTAATCCTGCCTAAAATATCTAGTTGTGAGTGATCTTCAAGTTTCTGTTTTGAGAACCTTGCCTGCATTAATCGGAGCTTAATGCACGGATGAGTGTTACCACACTGATGACACCTGGGTACGTGACACTCTGATTTATTAACAGGTGGACAGGGCAGGCAGCTGCTCAGATGAGGGGGCAGGAGAGCCCTGGATGGGAAGGGGGTTAGAGGAGAGGAAGGGCGGGGATCCCTGGCAGCTGAGAGAGGCAGGGCAGGTGCACACATCTGTGCGTCCCCTCCTAGAGGAAGTCAGGGGCCTGGGAGGAGAGGGTGGGCTGTGGGCGGGGGGGCCCCACTCTGAGCTGGTCCAGGTATTCTCCAAGGATCACCAAATGCCATCTTCCTCCATAGGCGACTCCCCACAGTTCCTGCTGAACGAGACCCAAGCCAGAGGATTGTCGAAGGAGCTTTGGGACCTGTTTGTTGGCATTGAACATCTGATATACAAGGGCCGCAGTGGTGAGGTGGCTTGGGGGTTGGCTGGGGCTCCGTAGGCTGCCGGAAATGTTTCCCAGGCTTCGTTATAGCTGGGCTGGGTGCTGGGGGTGGTGTGGGATCCCACCAGGGGCATTGCCAGGGACTCATATGGGGGCTTGTTCTGAGTCCTCAGGCAAAATTCGCTTCCTGGAAGGGGGAAGAACACCTGGGGGTGAAGACATGCACCTCACCTCCCCCAGCCTCTAGTTCTGTAAGGAGTGGGCAGACACTGTTCTTTGGGGGGCTCCTGGTTGCTCTCTGGGTTGAGGAGCGACAAGGAGCCCTCAGAGACTCTGGACCCGTGTGCAGCTCTCATGGCGTGTTTCCATCTGGAGAGAGCCAGGGAACCAGTATTCATGGGGCTGCCTGTGGGCCTCCGGCCTGGGAGTCCCTAGTTTGAGGACAGTGACAGGGCTTTCCTCAGAAAGTCA